GCCGTTTTAATGCTGCTGCTCTATGTGATTGTTGTGCAGAATTGTCTTATAGGAAGGAATTTGTGTATGTGTATAACAAATAAGCATATATTTTTTATAAAATAAATAGAATAATTTTTCATTTGATAATTCCAAAAAAAATTAACATTCTTGTTTCTGAAAAATAAACCAGATGGATTTAATTCTTCTGCGCGAAGACTGTAGCTTTTAGGTTCATTTGGCCTAAACATCCTGATAAATGTTCTCTTGCACCAGGATCCAATATACACTCACTAGACAAAAGTCGGGCGCATTTTTAAACAAAAATTGCACAAAAACATACTTAATAATAATTAAATAAAAAATATTGTTTTTCAACTTAGGTTCACCAAATTATATATGCAAAATTTCACATCTTTAATGTTTTTATTAAACCAATGATTAAAAAAGAAAATTTCGACCAAAATTGACTTTTTTTTTTCTTCAAAAAAAAATGACTGTTGAAAAATGCACATCATAGTCATACCCAAAAATTTAAAATTCGATAAACAAAGTAAATAATAATATAAATATCTTGTTGGCCATCCATTATTTTCAATGACTGCTTCAATTCTCCTCGGCATACTCTCAATCAATTTAATCAGGACATTATTTGTTAATTTAGGACGGCCACTTCGATTTTTTGTAACGAGATCTTTTCTATCAATGTAATTTTGAACAATTTTAGTTTGGTGAATTATTTTTATATAGACCGATGATTTTACCACGTTGACTTTCACTTAAGGGTTACATTTTGAGTTTAAAATTTTTCAAAGGAATTGTTCAAAAATTTATTAAAAATGATGTTTGTTTACAAAAAAATTCAAAACAACATAGATACTTATTCAAGACGTTTGTTATCACATGCCAAAAATTCGAGCTTGGTTATTAAATACGATTTTGTTCAATTAAATTTTTTTTTGTCAGAAATATTTTCGGAAAATTATTTTCTTAGGCACAATAAAAGTTTTAAATTTTGCATGCAAAAATTTTGAGAACCTAGGCTACAAAATGATATAAGTTATTTGTGTTTTTATTGTGTGCGTTTTGCGCAATTTTTGTTTAAAAATGCGCCCGACTTTTGTCTAGTGAGTGTAACAAATAACATTTGTGTTTGTAAAAATATCCTATACTGTGATGGTTTGGAAAGAAAGTAAAATCTAAAGATTGATCCTGACAAAAATGTAAAAAAATTTGCTACTCAACAAACGATAAAGCATTATATTTTTGTCGATATAATAAATCCCATAGAATATTGTATTAAAAATCAGAGAATTTGTAGTGTTCTTCGAAACTTTTATGTGTAGGACATAGTAATAGAGCCAGAAGTATATCAAAATTCAAACACTATTGGTTAACCACATATTAATAATCATACTAATACCTTTTCAGCATATTACATATTCCGCGCCCATTTCCCGCATTTCTTATAGGGGAGAAATTTTCAGATCGTATATAAAATATTGAAATTATATGACGAAATGCTTTATTAAAGATTATATTAAAAGAAAACCCAGTTAAAATTCTATAATTGATTTATGCCAATGAAAATTTAAGGAATTGAAAAAGAAGGTCTATTTAGAAAGGTTTATAATTATAGTGAAAAATTTCAGTCAAGGGAGTTTGAATTGTTGTAAAAACTAACTTATTGGAAATTTTCAAAAAGATGATTTTTCAGTTAATGAGATATTATTTGAGAAAAATTAGAATAAACGAATAAAACTAATAATTGATAATTTGAATAAATAATAATATATTATGAACATTTGCGATTTAACATTTCTCGGAAATAGAAATTCCTTTCCAAAAATCAAGTTTAATTTTTTAACAACTCAACATTATGTTGACTTCTTTCTTCCCTCTCAGCATGATCGTATCATGGTCAAAAGAGGCTATATGATACAACACAACTACTCCCGTGAAACTGCAAATTCGATGGAATTTCATTATATGCATGCATGCACTTGATGATTCAAATAATTATTAAAATTTTATTTTTATTATAAACCAAAAAGGAAAATATGGGTTTAATAACTTCAGAATTAATGGCATGTGGTATGTATTTCAAGGGAATAAATTTAGTTATAAATTATGATTTTTCCACAATTTCAATTCAAAGTTATATCCACAGAATTGGCAGAACTGGTAGAGCAGGTAGATTAGGCGAAGCAATTACATATTATATGAAAAATGATGCTCCATATTTAAAAGGTAAATATTAATTTTATTTTCTCTATTTATTATTAAAATATTGACTTAATTATAATAGTATTGTAAATGTTATGAGTCACTATTTCAAATAAAATAAACAGAATTTTATATTTTTAAATATATAATAGCCCAAAAATCATACAACAACAAAATTATTGTGTATATTTGACATCAAAATTTCAAAAAATTTCAAAGATATGATAATTGTGAGAAGTTACTTATTACTTTATATTAAATATAAAAATCTAAATATTTATATCCATTAGGTGAGAAACTATAAATATGATAATTTATAACATAATAATATTAGTTATTATAATATTAAATTTTAAAATTAATAATTGAATAATAATCAATGAATAATTACCATTATTATCACCAATAATTGTTACTTTATTGGAATTTACAGGTTGAGGAAGGCCTGTAAATTTTAATAGTCTGCTAGTATAAACAGCATTTGGATGAATTGCTGCAGTAATTGTCAAAGGATCAAATTTTATTTCAGCCATTTCATCAAACTCTTTTCTAATTGATTTTAATTCATCCTGCTGTTCTTTTGAATATCCATAATTTTCGAAATATGCTGAAAAAATTATCAATAACTTCAAGAGTTCAATTTGTTATTGATGAAGCTCACTGTGTATTAGAACACCAATATTTTCGAAATGCTTGGAATGGTGTTGCAGAGACTCTAAAAAGAGATTTTCCAAACTCTTCAATAATGATGGTTAGTGCAACAATGTCTGAAAAAGATGCACATATTTTGTGTGAAAAGATGAAGATAGAATGGAATGATCTTACCATAATTAGATCATCATCATTTGCACGTCCTCACAATTTTTTGCAAGTCCAAGAAAAGAAAAAATCAAAAAAAGATGCTAGTTATGGTCAAGTTGTTGAAGAAATCAACAAAAATCCTGCTGGAAGATGTATAGTTTATTGTGCATCACCTAAAATTTGTGAAGATCTCAAAATTTATATAATTAATGAAATTACAAATTGTGAGGTTGGCCTTTACCATGGTAATTTATCTGGAAAAGAAAAACATGTGTCATTAATGAAATGGAAAACTGGAAATACTAAAATAATTATAGCAACAAATGCTTTTGGCATGGGCATAAATACTTCAGATGTATACTTTATAATTCATTTCAATTTTCCTTTGAGTCTTGGCCAATATATTCAAGAAAGTGGGAGAGCTGGTAGAGATGGTTCACAATTAAAATGTATTATTTTATATTCAAGAAGTGACTTTAAATTATTATATGGAATCATTTCTGAATTTAGAGAAGATGCTGGAGAGTATGAAACCCCACAAAGAAGAATTTATCTTAGACAAAGTTTACAAAACCTTCATGAAATAATTTTTTTTGTGAAGAAAAATATAAATGCTTGCAACAATCATTACTTAACTTTTATGCATGGTCAACTGATGCTGCAACTTCTTCCTGCAGTAATTGTAATAACTGTCAGCATAAAGCTGCAGACAACCCAGATTTAATCAATGTAACTACAGATGCAACTGAAATAATTGAAATCACAAGAAAGTTATTTGAAGAATTAGAAGATAATGACATTGTAAGAGATGATATAATCGGAATTTTTCTCCAATTGAAAAATAAAAAAATAATTAACAGGAAATTGAACAAACTTAAAATTTATGAGGAAAATTTCAATAGTAATAGAACAATTAGAAATTCGAAACAGGCATTTCACTTACTTGATGATTTGATAACTAAAAAGATAATAATAGAAGTAGTTACAATGCAAAAATCAGGTGCAGGATTTTGGCTGACAAATTCCAAAATTATAGATATTGCTGAGGGTGCTGAAGAAATGACATATTCTCATTCTTGGGATTATTATTTATAAAATAAATAAATAAATAAATATATAAATAAATAAATATATAAATATATAAATAAATAAATAAATAAATATATAAATAAATAAATAAATATATATATATATATAATTTTTTTTTTTAATTTTTTATTATAGGAAATTTTAATGTATATTAATATTTCATAAAAATATTGATCAACATTTTACCCGGCAGGCAAAAAATTGAGCCATGATTTACTATTAAATTAACACATGATTCCCCCTACCCTTAAATTGACAAATCTATATGTGTTACATTGAGTTGTCCCCCCATACCCCTAGATAATACTAAAACAAAAAAAAAATTATCTCATTTTAAAAAATTTAACCGTCAAGTTTTATTGTTCATGACTCAAGCTTCAAAACTTATCAACTGGTTTTTTCTTAAACTAAAAATTGGCTGAACCTTAGCATTTTGAAAATTCCGAATTTTGTTATGCACTTAAGAAATTGAGACCAAGTAAAATTTCGTGTGACAACTTTTTTCATAGAATATTTTCTACAACATACGTTTAATTTATTTGATTTTTTTTTTATTAATAAATAAAAGTTATTTACAACAAAAAAGTTTAACGAACCATAAATTATAAATTTCAGTTCAGAAAACCATCATCATATTTTTTTGTAAGTAATCAACAAACAATACATTACTAACAAATTTACATTCTTCCAATTAAAAAAAGGCCAAGATGAAATAAGCAAACTCCGCATTTAAAACAAATCAGATAATGAATAAAATTTAGAATATGCATCAAGTGAAAAAGACTCAGATAAAGAAATCGACTATATGGATTATTTGAATTGTTCATTTAATTTGTTTATTCAAATTGTTCATTTTACTTGAATTATTCGTTTATTTGAGTGCTCTGTACTTTTATTCTTGAATTTTATTGGCTGGAGTGTTCAAAGTCCAATTCCAATGCACATAAACCATTGGTCTGTGACTTCCAATCCTAATGAAGCATCCAATGTACATCACTGATTTTGGTTTCACAGAAATGTCCCCAAAATTTGATAAGTATAGATAGTGTCCTGTTTATTTTCATTTTAATATTTATTTTTCTTTGAAATAAAAAGTATTCAATTAAGTACAACTAATTGAAATGAAATAACAAAGGTCAAAAGAATTTTTCTTAATTAAAATTTTTTATCTATATATATTATTAACTCTATTGGCAATTTAAAGACTCATTTATTACTTGTTTTTGGTGATGGATCATTCAGAATACTGCATTTTATGCAATGAGTTCTTTTCCAAAATTATAAAAACTACATACTATACCCAATCATCAGGTTTCATACTATTATTTGAATTTATAGTAGTAATTGTAGAGTTATTATTATGACTATGATTATTATGACTATTATTGTTATTGTTATTACCATTAGCAACATCATTAACAACATCATCATTATCATCATTATCATCATTATCATCATTATCATCATTATTATTATTAGTCAAAGAGGCAGACTTGGCAAAACTACAATGAACACAATGGAGGCGAGATGCAAAATTGTGAGAATTACAAGATGGACAATACCAATCACCAGGTCTAAATTGGTTAGAATTTGGTAATAATAAACCATGATTAATACCAACATTGTTAATATTAGATGAGGATGAAGATGAAGAAGAAGAAGATGATGATAAAATTGTTGATGCCATTGTTGTTGATGATGATGTTGGTGGTGTTGCTATTGTTGATACGGAATTTGGTGTTGCTATATAAGTTATTGCATCATCTGCTTCTTGATCTGTTGATAAATTGGCATAGTTGTCTAGTATTATAACATTTGAAGACCCACATCTCATACATTGAATTCTTGAAGCGAAATTTCGAAAAAGACAATTTAAATTTTGACAAATCCAATAACCATTTCTAAACATTGTAATTGGTGAGGATGCTGTAGATGAGGATGTTGAAGATGATAATGTTGAGGGTGATGGTACTGGTTGAGCATCATCATTATCATCATCATCATCATTATTATTTGTGTTGTTGTTGTTGATGTCATCATCATTATTAATATTGTTGTTGTTGTTGTTGTTGTTAATGCCATCTTTATGATTATTAATATTGTTGATGTTATTATTAATGTCATCTTCTTCATTATTAATATTGATGTTAATATTGTTGTTGTTGTCATTGATGTTATTTTCATTATTATTAATATTGTTGTTGATGTTGCTGCCATCCTTGTCATTATTAATATTGTTGTTGATGTTGTTATTGATGTTGCTGTAGCCATTATTGTTGTTACTGTAGTTGTTGTTGATGCTATCATTATCATTACCATCATCACCATCACCACCATCATCATTGTTGTTGTTGTTAATGTTGATGTGGTTGATGTTATTTTTGTCTTTATTATTATTGTTGTTGTTGTTGTTATATTTGTTGTTGTTGCTGCTGCTATTGGTGTCAATGATGTTGTCTCCATCATCATTGTTGCTGCTATTGCTGTTGACAATACTGTTTTCATCTTCAACCTCATTATCATTATTGTTATTATTGCTATTGCCATCAAGAGGAGTAGTGGTAATTTCATTAGGTTTATTAACACCACATTTTAAACATTGTTCATGGACTGGAAAATTACTATAATTGCATTGAATGTCAGGACAAACCCATTCATCAGAATTAAAATTGAGTTGTGATAATTGTGGTGTAGAGGGAGAATTGTTGTTTTTATCATTAACATCAATGATTGTATCAGTAGTGATGGTTGTGGATTCATAAGAATTAATTTTTACACTTGATGTGGCATATACAATTGCGTTACATCTAAAACAAGTTTTCCTTGAAGCAAAATTATGAAATTGACAAGATGAACATGACCAATCACCTGGACGAATACGGTTTTTATTCACCTTATGAAAAGGGAAAAAAGATATAAATATTTAAAATTTGTAAATAATATATGTATGTATATTTTAAAATAAAATAATATATGTATGTATATTTTAAATAAAATACCGGAAATGATGATAATATTGCTCCTATAGCCTCTATTACCCTGTCACTACTTGGGTTAACTTCAATTATTCTATCACATAAAACCTTGCCATTCATTTCTAAACCAATCTTGGCATCTTCATGAGTAGAAAATATAGCAAAACCCGAACCACTTGGTTTCTGATAAACATCTGGAAATTTAATTGTCAATAATGCAATAGGTGTTATATCTTGAATTGAAAACCAAGATTCTAATTCAGTTTGAGTAACATCATAAGGCAAGCTTGCTAAATGGATTACTTTGGATTGTTCTTTTCTAAATTGACTAAAATCAGCCTCAGCATCAATTGGATTAACAAAAACATCAGAATGTGCTAAAGAACATATATATCTAATAATATTGACTATAGTTAAAGAATCATTTAATGTTGAATGATCTGACTCACTTGAATTCAAATTGAAAACTGAACATATTTCTTGTAATGAATAACTTTTCAATATAATGTCAGGATGATGAGCCTGCCATCGTTGAACTTCTTGTTTTAGATCAAATAGTTTACAATATGACAAATAGAATGGTAAATCGATGTTTTTTTCTTTTGCCTCTTTAGGCAATTGAATTCTAAGATCCCAAGCACCATGTGTGCAAAAACAAAAGGTTTTATTAAAATTGATTATGTAAGTTTGGATATAATTGTCTAATTTGTTAATTGCTTCGTTTAAAGACCCGGCGTTTTCCAACTTGTCCCATGTGATTTTTGTAAGTGCGATGCAAAAATCTGTCAAAGGAGTAAATAATGGTTTTACATATTGTGAATGTTGATATACCTAATCAATCAATCAATTATTTTTTTGTTAACAACTTTAATTTATATTATATACATATTTCAATAAATAGAGAAGAAACAATCACAGACCACTTCCAAGTTACTTGTATCAACTACTACCCAGGCAAATTCAATAATTTCAGCCGTTTCCTAATTTGTTATTTTTTTTTAACAACAGTATTTAATTTATTAAATCGTAATGTAAGTTAACTTTCAAGTGTAAAAGAAATCGGTAAAAAGAATAATTCAATAAACAATATAGAGTACAATTTTCATCCTTAAAGACATTAATTTATTTAACCTCTAGGGAAAAAGAATTTGTCAGTAAAGTATACCTTTGTAACTTGTATGTCTTGTAGATCTTGTAAATTATCATCACAAGTAGCTTCTAAAAAAATCACTATAAGATAATCAAAACCAGAAAAGCGCGCGTTTTCAACTAACGGCATATTGTTATATGTCAATTAAGTAAAAAAACTTTTTTTAATTCCTGTAGATCGCTAAATACAGGGAATCAGGTGACTTTCCTAACAGGCTTTAGCCCATATAATATAGATTTATCTAAATTTATGATGATGTGGATCAGAATGAATTGGACTATTACTATTACTAACGAATTAGGTTTTATTAGCAGATAAGAAAATTTTTATTTATTTTATTTAGTTGAAACTAAATTTATTTCCAAGTTAAAATTTATTACAAAATTATTTTTCAAGTACATCTAATTCAAGCCTCTCTCTTACATACAATTAAATTAATTAGTAGCACTTTTATAATGATCTAGTCCTTATTATTATTCTGCACTTTGATTACAATTAATGATGTGGCCTAAATTATTTTAGAAATCCAAAATAGTTTCGTCCAGAGACATCAGGAGTTTAGAATCACTGTTAAATGAACAAGCTTTTAGAAAACAATGAAAATTTAACATTGGGTGATTATATAAATTTTAATTATTTAAACTATCTATTAAATTAATTTTTATTTATAACAATTTGCTAAAAAAATTGTTTGCTATTACACCATATGCAAGCTTCTTGAGAAAGGATTTGGTCATCTTGTGGATGGCTATATGAAAAAAAAGGTCAATTTAAGTATTGAGTTTGCTGAATCAATGGTAAAAATTCATAGCTATTATGACTCAAATTGCAAGGAAGAATTGAAAATAGCAGAAGGAAATATTTCTGAAAATGAAACATTGGATACTTATTTGGCAGCTCAAGATGATAACAAGGAGGATAATGAGGATGATGATATAGAAACATCTTTATTAGAAGAAGAGAATAATGATATAAATGTTAATGAGGGACTTCCAGTACCTTATGTTTTAATTATTCAAATACAATGGATTTATCTCATTATGATTTTCAAGATCTGGATGATAATGAAAATAGATTTGAGTATTTATCTGAAGAAGAAACAATATTAGCTAATGATAAGTATGACAAAGAGGAGGAATATAATTTGAACGAATTGGCATCATCATTTATGACAGCATTACTTGGTAAAAAAAAAATTTTTTTATACAATTATTATTACATTATTTTTCAATTGCCTCATTGATAATTTGTTCAAGTTTATAAAAAATTTAAAATTGTTTTGGAAATATTTTTTATAACAATAATAAAATCAAACTAAGTTTATATAGATTAATATGTTAAAGTTTCGTTCTTTTGACAATTTAGGGAGTTTCACCCACAGTTTAGGCAATTTTTGAGTTTTACCACTAGTTTAGTGATCAGAAAGCATTTTTCTGGAAGGAGGTTTGTATGCTATTCTCAGCTGTCTTATGAACTTAATAAAATATGGATCTTCTACGAGTTGAAAAGATAAATTACAGACAACAGCTTTGGTTAAAGCTTGATCAAATCTTTTTTATTTTTGTTATTAATTTGGCACTTTCAATAAAATCTTCTAAACCAGTTTGGTTTGATGGTCAAGTTCTTCTATTAGATTGATTTGCTGACTCATTATCATGTTTAGAAATAACTTCAAAAAGGTATATTTAACTGAGTCATTAATTGCTAGACATTCAAAAGCTAAGTGATGTTCCATCATAATAGGAGAACCCTTATTCCAATATTTTCCAATCAGCAACATAATGACTAGAAGAAATTTTTATTCCTTTATTAAAGTAGTTACATACTACAGCATGTGGGTGTCCACCTTTTTTTCTTTGCGTATCTATTTTATTATTTAATAGTATTAGATTAGAGAAAGTGATGAAAAAGAGTGTGAAAAAGATAGATGAGGCGAAAGAGAAGTTTGTTGAGTATTAGAACTTGAAGAATCAGATGTAATTGGGTTCAACATCTGTGAAAATATGGCAAGAAAAAAAAATATAATAATGCAGGAAGATAATTAATTAATTTTCTGCAATCAGTCCATTTATCACAGAGATGACAATTAGGAATTCAAGTCTCAAACATTGTTCAGATGGACAAGAGAAAAAAAGGAATTTGTTTTTTAAATCATATTTGTATTAATTGAGGCATGCTGTAACAAAACCCACCATATGCAAACGATTTCTGAAAGGCTACACCTATATCCCTGTGAACATAGGGATACAGCTTTTACCTTCATAATCACATACGAGGGATATACTTATATGCTGATCACTGGTAATTAATTAATATATAATAAATAAAGGAGTCAGAGACATTTATGTCTTCAAATAGTATAAAAATATACACAAGTGGAGAGACATTTATGACTTCAAGCATATATGTGAGTTGGAGACAATAATGTTTTCAAATACAATTAGGATATATGTAAGCTGAAGACATTAATGTCTTTGAGTACAATTAGGATATATGCAAGCTGAAGACATTAATGTCTTTGAACACAATAATGATACACATGGGTTGGAGACATTGATGCCTTCAAATACAAATAACGATGTGTGTGCTGGAGACATTGATGTCTTTGAGTACAATTAGGATATATGTAAGCTTAAGACATTAATGTCTTTGAACATAATAATGATACATATGGGTTGGAGACATTGATGTCTTCAAATACAAATAACGATGTGTGTGCTGGAGACATTGATGTCTTTGAGTACAATTAGGATGTATGTAAGCTGAAGACATTAATGTCTTCAAACACAAACAATTATACACATGAGTTGGAGACATTTATGTCTTTGAACACAATAATGATACACATGAGCTGGAGACATTGGTGTCTTCAAACACAATAATGATACACATGAGCTGGAGACATTGATGTCTTCAAACACAATAATGAAACACATGAGCCAGAGACATTGATGTCTTCAAATACAATAAGAATGCACATGAGCTGGAGGCATTGATGTCTTTGAACACAATAATGATACACATGAGCCAGTGACATTGATGTCTTTGAACACAATAATGATATACGAGCTGGAGACATTGATGTCTTCAAACCAGTGTAGGAAATTGAGTGTGGGATTGTGTTACATTAAAAATGCGCATATTTGTTGATCACAACCATTTATTGATATCAAGTATATAAATAAAATAAAAATTGTCTTTCTTTTATTTGTCCAATGTTCATATGCTTTTTCAAAATCAAAATCTTGAATATCTGGACCATTTAATAAATAATTAAATGATTATTCAATGTATCTACATGCATTTTGTTTCTCAACTTGTTTTTTATCAGATTTGCTTGTGAAAATATTCTTTCAACATGTGCATTGTAAAAGGGTATAAGGAGTGCTATTTTAACAATAACTGTTAAATTTGGATAATTGAAATAAAAATTTTTGTCTATATCCAAAATGTGTTTCCACAATCAAATAAAATACATTTCTGTACTTTTATAGTGATATAGATAGGATTTTAAAGAGTTTCACTCTTCTGTAGTTTTCCTTTTTCAACAATTTCACAAAATTCATCATTTACCAATTTAGTATCTCCATAAAATTTACCTAAAGATTCTATCTCACTCTGACCATATACAGTGTGTAACAAAAATAATTGGAAAATTATTCCTGTTGCTTAAATGCATGTTTTGTACTCAAATTAAATCCAATTCATGTTGCATAACTTTCAAAACAAACGAGAATAATAAACTTATCTTTTTAGATCATCTGTTTTGTTTATTATTTTTCAATTGTTGTAAAAATTGACTTTAAAATGTCCACATCTGACCAAGAAAGACAACATCAGACTCTATTACATTTCTGGAACCAGGGTGTGAGATCTGCTAAAGAACTTCACACCCTGACAAATATTCTCCTTTCTACTAGCTATTTTAACATCGAAAAAATTAAAAAGACAGGTGATATTTTGCACAAAGGTGGTAACAGACGACCAAAGAAGATTACTGCAGATGCTGCACATTTAATTGGACAAACTATTAGAAGAGATACTTCAGTTTCTGTAAGATCATTGGTGAACAAAGTAGCAACAAAAGGAATAGAAGTATCTCACATGACTATCTTGAGACATTTATCAAACCATGGTTATAAAAAAAGCCTTCCACAAGCCACCCCTATGCTAACAACAGTTCACAAGGAGAAAAGAGTTGAATGGGCAAGGAAACACTTGAATGATGACTGGTCACAGACATTATTCACTGATGAAACGGCCTTTCAACTGTTTAGGAATACAGTGGAATGTTGGCATAAAGGTGTGAAACCAGTTCGTCACATGCCAAAAGACAGAACAAAAATTTTAGCATGGGGCAGATTTTGTGTAAATGGACGAATGAGTCTTTTTTGCTTTAGTCAAATAATGGATGCGAATTTTTATGTAGATATACTTAGAAATCACATTTCAGAGGTTAATGAGATGCTAGGGGATGTTTGGTGATTTCAACAGGACAATGATCCTAAACATACTAGTAGAATCACCTGAGCATTTCTCAATGAAAATGTTCCTGAATTGATGGACTGGCCATCAAACAGTCCCGATCTTAACTCCATTGAAAACCTCTGGAGTATTGTTAAACGAAATGTTGAAAGAAGGATGCCAAAAAATTGTAATGAATTAAAACATTTTATGAAAGAGGAATGGGATAATATTCTAAATCATGTTTTAATTAATTTAATCAACTCAATGAAAGATTGTTGTGAATTGATTATTGAAAAAAATGGTGAAAGAATACCATATT